GGAAGGGGAAGGGGAAGGGGGGGGGGGTTAAAAAGACCTGGGTGGGCAAGGGGGCAAGGTCTCTTAAAGTCCATTTGCTCTTTAACTGTCACTGCCTTCCCAGCCATGCATTACTGTACATTTTTTTTTTTCCTCCCTTGTAGGTGAACCGATTTAACAAGGTAGAAGATCGTTCCATCTTTATAACAGACAGACATCTGTATAAAATGGATCCTGGCAAGCAGTATAAAGTCATGAGTAGCACTCCACTTTATAATGTAAGTAATAGGACCAAAAGCATATCTAAACCCAAGAACACAAACGTAATATATTGCAGCTTACCATTTCATAAATGTGGTGGCTGTGTTCCTTTTCTTTTTTTTCCAGGCTTTTATGCTCTCCATATTCACCTTGTTGATCCTGCCAGTAACTCACTTCCTGTCCTAGGGTGACAATGCTCACTCACATTACAGTGTCTATGGAGAAACAGCGTTGTCACCCTAGGAGAGGACAACCAAACACCTCCCTCCTCTTCTCCAGAGGTGTTTTGTAGTCCACAGAGATAGCAGGGGAAAATGCTAACTGGTACTAGCCAGCAGAGTGTACTTAGCCGCTCAATATTCTAGACCGGATCCAAAGAAATTTTCATGCACTTTGAACAGATATAACAAAACCCTTTCAGTGGTATATTTCCAACCATAGAGAGCAAAGAAAAGTTAATTGATAGGGTTACTTTGATTTTCATCAGGTTTCCTCAGAAGTTATTGACAAAATGGCCCCTTTAACCCCTTCATGACTGAGGCCCTTTTTTCCATTTTTGCACCCATGTTATATTCCACATTTTAGGCCTGAAAATGACGTAAAACCCCCCAACATTATATATTTTCTGAATGCCAAGACCCTATAGAATAAAATGGTGGTAGTTGAAAATTTTTATGTTGCGCAATATTAGCGCAACTCCTTATTAAACCCCAAAATTTAGTGACAAATTTAATTAAATGCCCCAAAACACAACAAATTACCCATTTTTTTAATGAAATATAAAAGATGAGGTTACAACGAGTAAAACGATACCCAACATGCCCAGTTTACAGATTGCGTGCGACCGTGAAACGGCGAAAAACTGCAGTACCCCAAAAAGTCAATAAAAGACACTTTAAAAGCCCCCACAGGTCATCAATTTAGAGATACCCCAAAATACTGGCCCTAGAATTATTGCTCTCACTCCGGCGTGCGCGGCGATACCCAACATGTGTAGCGCGTTCGTCGTTTTCATGCGTAGGCGCACCCGACGCGTGTTTACGTGGCGACGCGCGTGCTCGCGGGGGCGGGGTACTTTTAAATTTTTTTTTTTATTATTATTAGATTTATTTTATTTCATTTTAATTTTAAAAACTGTTTTTTTTTTTTTTTTTACTTTACTTTGACTGCTATCACATGGGGGGGCTTGCAAGCCCCCCCATGTAATAGCAGATGGTGGTGACAGGTCCTCTTTAAGGTGATGCTGGGGGTCCAAAAGACCCTCAGTGTCACCTTTACACTGGAAATGAGCTATTGAAGTGCAGATCGCACTTCAATAGCTTATAGCTGGGCTGCAGGAGCCCAGAACTGACAGCCCAGGGACCGGAAGTGATGCAATCTGCATCGCTCCCGGTCCCATAGAACGGGGAGGGGATCGATGAACGGAAGTTCGTCGACCTCCTCCCCAGCTCCCCGCGGACACAAAGATCGCCGGTCCCGGGCCCGTAGGAGGGGCAACGGAGCCCGGGAAGCACGGCGGGGGGGTCCGGCGGGGGGGGCGGCCCCTTCTTCGGGACGCAGAAGCGATCTGGCGACAGGTAAGTCGCCAGGATCGCTTCTGTTGTAAAGCCGACAGTCGGCTCTACAAGTTTAAACAGCCCCGATGCTGGCGACGTACACTGTACGTCGTCAGTCACGAAGGGGTTAATAATTCAAAAGCCATTGTTGAGCTCCAACCTGGTGACCTTGCCTAGGCTGAGCTGATGACATCAGTATGCTGCAGGCCGGAGGAAGCATTTTCTCTGTCTTCTCCCAGTTTTCAGAATGCAACATTGTAACTTTGTAGCAGTGATAGGCTGCATTGGGGGCGGATCTGTGTCATCTCTGAGCCAGCATCTCAGTCCAGGAGATGGAGGCTAGCCCTGGATGAATCCCTGAAAAAAGATGGTGCATTCATTTCCTGGACTACACAGATGCTCAGAGTGCCTTGGTGCTTACTGCTTCCTGGTCCAATCACATGCTTTATTGTACTTACAAAATGGCTTCCAAATCTTGGTATATTGGTGTGTTGGGCACAGTTAAAATATGTGCAACATTGTCTCTGGTGTTACACCTGTCCTTAACCATAAAGTGCAACTGAAGCCAAACCTTTTTTTTTACTTTTTGGTGTGGAGAGGAATAAGAACACCGGTCAAGTTTATATTACTGTCTGTGTCCCTGTTCTGGAGATTCACCCCTCAATATTTGTCCTGGTGACCATTATCACTGAAAGTTGAAGAAAATCCCATATTGTGTGATGTCATCAGAACAGGAATAGATGGGAAATCTGCCAAAGGGGACACAAGTTCTGTTGACCACCAGGAATGTCCCTCTCTTTTGGAGGGATTTCCTCTTACTTCCTGTTGCAGCTATCAGACAGGAAATAAAGGGAAATCTCCTGAATGGGAAACAGATGGCAAAAAAAAAAAAGCTGACAGCTGTTATAACCCTCCCTTACTCTATCCAAAACTTCAGTTCTACTTTAAGGTCCTGTGTCAGTGGGCTTTGGGCTTGTTGATGGCAGCAGTTTGACATCAGTCTGAGATTTTTCCGAATTCATTGACTGGTGCATTTAACCTGCAGTTGTCCTTCTGACTTGCATTTGACCTGCTTTTTAGCAGGTTTTGCATCCCCATAGACTTGCATGGGAAACCAGATACAAAGTTCATTGACACATGCCCTAAACATCATCTTGACAATGAACCCTACATTGACCTAAACCCTAATTTTAACCTATCCATAATAAAGTGACCACCTAACATCTTCAATAAGGGATACATCTAACTCTGAACCTGACCCTAGGATTTATTCTAATCTTCACCCTAACCTTTAAAGAGCAATCAAAATATTTCAGTTTAATAGAAGATGGAAGTTTAACCCTCAAAGCCCAGCTCCCCAAGATGTTCTACTTTCTTTACCAATACCAGAAGTGTGTCCTGTAGAATTCCTGCAGTCTTGGCCTGAAGGTTTTAGTGCGGCGTTATCTGGCTGAACACAGCGAATGATTTGGCAATGCTGCTTTAAAGTCGGAGTTGTTTCATTAAACAGGAGTTATGTAGAAGATGGCGATATATATTTTTAGGATCTCTTCTGGGAAATCATGGACGTTCACTTCATGGACGTGACAATTACCATGTCTGCTGGACCATGCCCCTTATTTACAAGGCCCGATTGTTTATGGAACTGCAGCTTTATTCCTTCCCACTATGTCAACACTGTCTAAAAAAAAATAAAAATGCTTCCATTGATGATTTTTAGCCACATTGAAGGATCGCTATGAACAAAATACGCTTTAATGGTGCTGTGCAAGAGCATCAGAGCTGTGATTGGCTCAGAGTGCTGCCCCTCACCTATGCAGTGTTATGGATTCTGTACCAAGTAATATAGCAGGATAACATTAGGGAAGATTCAGGTATTAATGTTTGTATGTCAAAATAAATTTCATGTTTTTTTTTTTTTTAACTTGGACACAACTGAATCAAATGGTGTTTTTATTTCTGTCTTGAATTGTGCTTTAAAGAGAACCTGCCTTGTAAGAACAACACCCACCCACTAATAACTTTGCCATGCTCCCCTACTGCTCTGTTGCTCCATCGGAGCCTTTGGAAATACCTGATCCTTCTAGGTATGGGGGGACATCCTCCCAGGACCCAATCCTCGGGCCTGTATGGCCATTTGCTATGGAGGAAGTTGTTAACCCTGTGTAAGCTTCTACACCATCTAACAGAGTTTTATACAAGGTTTACACTCTGTGCTGTGACAGAGGAACAGAAGCGGAATAGGTAAGTGGATGGGGAAGTTGACAGAGTCTCTTTAAGAATTTGCAGTCAGTAAAGTTAGCTTTTATTGTGTCATTTTAAGCAAAGCGGATTTTGTTATTTACAATATGCCCTAATGAGGTCACTGTAGGATTTCATTAGGATGGGAGCAGCCTTATAACACATTTTAACTAGATTGATGTGGCATTAAATTCATCCCTTACATTACTTTTTCCCAACCAGGGTGCCTCGAAATTGTCTGATCACTAGTAGCAATAGCAGGTATAATAGTCAGGTAGCAGTTCAATCACTAGTAGCAACAGCAAGATATTGTTCAGGTTTGATTGCAATCACTAGTAGCAACAGCAGGTTTATTAGTCAGGTAGCAGTTCAATCACTAGTAGCAACAGCAGGATATTGTTCAGGTATGATTGCAATCACTACTAGCAACAGCAGGTTTATTAGTCAGGTAGCAGTTAAATCACTAGTAGCAACAGCAGGATATTGTTCAGGTATGATTGCAATCACTAGTAGCAACAGCTGTGCACACAGTTCATCAAGTCTCACAAACTGAAAGGGTTACTTGCAGTTTGGTGGTGGTTGCTGCTGTACTGGTGCTGCTGTCACATTGCTGGTCCCAGGTGGGTAGACTGGATCGAGGGGACCAGTGTCCGGAAGTCCGTGGCGCTGATAGGGTGACTTTCACTAGTCACAGGGTTCCTAGTGGGGTTCGGGTAGGAGCTGAGGAGTGACCGGCCGGAGTCTTCCTCATTGCATGAAAGCCGGCCGATTGATCGTTCACAGCTTAAGTTGCTGAGGGGGGAGGAGTCGGCTGACGGCGCAGGGGAGAATCATACCCTGCGCCCCCTATGGAGCGGAGGTCAGGTGAGCATTTCACAGACTCTGATATGAAAGAGGGGCGCTAATATAAAGGGGGTCTTCTGACGTGAAGGGGGAACTCTAAAGTAAAGTTGGGAGCTCTGATATTAAAAGGAGGCACTGGTATAAAGGGGGCTCCTGACATGAAGAGATAATTGAAATGTAAAGGTGGGGGACTCTGATTATAAAGGGGGGCTTCTGATGTAAAGGTGGGGGACTCTGGTATGAAAGAGGGTTCTGATGTGAAAAGGGCGCCTAATGTTAAGGAGGGCTACTGATGTAAAGAGAGCTTTGATGTGAACGGCAACCTCACTTTTTTCTGTGTTCCTTTTTATGGGATCCCCCAGATTACATTTTAGACTGGGGTGATTGGAGATTATACATAATTTTAAAGGGTTCCATGACTGAAACAAGGTTGAGAAATGCTGCCGTACACCATTCTTTGTGTCTAATATTTTAAACACTGCATGGGAAGCCTTTAACTACCAGCCTTTGCTATAAAGCAGCCAAGTGTAGACCATAGGAGCCAGTGAGAGTTCACTATGCATTAGCTAACTGCAGTCAGAACAATGGAGGCCACTGCTGATTGGTTTCAGTGGGTGGCTGCACTTGCGTCATAAAGGCCTAAGTGTTTTCTCCACATACGCCACTTCTACTAATAACATGTTCCTTATAAATTATTAATTGTAAAAGGAAGGTTGGGTAGACTGTAATTGATGTACGTAATGCAGTCATCCTTCAAATATGTAGCTAAGTACTATACATAGTGCCTATTGATCACTGTGACCTATTTACAGGAGAGAAGAAAAGCATGTGGAATATTACACTACAATGATTATCAGAGCATCAGGGCTGCCATAAAATAGTGTCATCAAATCACTTTGTTATGGTCAGGACTAAAAAAAAATAAACATCAAAGTATATATTTTTTCAGTTAGGTATATATAAATTATCACAATTTTCTACTCAGACAGTAGGTGGATCTTTAGGCTTTTTTCACATCCTTTAAAAATTCTCATTCCACACACAAAGTGTCAATGACCAATCCCTTTTCAGACATCTCCACCCGAGACAAAGCCAGCCTCAAGGCAGAAAGCGATCTCATAAGATAACCCATAGTGCTCTGGGATCTCCTGATCATGTAATCAAAGTGTATGTGTAAATAAAAGATTATATATGTTAAAGAAAAAACATCAGTTTAAAAACATTGACCCAGGACCAAGTTTTCCTTTTATATGTCAATGGAATCGTTGGACGTTTACTGGACACGTTTCCAGTCTTAATAAACGTCACAAATATTGCAAAGTATGAAGTTATGTGCACATAGACTTTTTTTTCCTTTTGCAAGCTACAGTGGTACCCACAGTGATGGCAATTAAACATTCCCCTGAAAACAAAAGCAAGGCTCTGATCAAAGCATGTTATGGATGGGGAAGGGATCATTGCTGGTTGGGATTGCTTGGTGTCCTGCATTTACAGAAGCAGGACATTTCCAGACACCGATGCATGAGACTTACGTGATATTGAAGCCTCTTATGCCCCTTGTTTAGATAAACTGGATGCCAGAAGTTGTTGTTTTTGTATTGTGTAGAATGGGGAACTGGGATTGCATCTGCTGAGGCCTTTACTGACAGATATCATCATGAATAGAGGTGTGGGGGAGGGAGAACAGAATCATAAGAGGTGACCCGTATAAAACCATGGAAAGAAAACAGTCAGGAGAAAGGGATGCAGTCAGTCACATTTGATCTTGCAGCCAGCAGCTACTGGCATTTCTGTATCTAAAAGCATCCCATCACCATAACAACCACTGGGGGATGGGGTTGCCATGGAAATCTCCATGGAGACAGGATCAGGCGATGTCTGGTCCAGCGCAAGCTTCATTCAGCTCTGCTGCTCAGCCTGCTGAGATTATGTTGTTGCTTGTCTCTGCTGCTCCACGTATCATGTTTTTCTCTAATACCTCAATTTTTTTCTGTGCGTTCCACTGTACACCATATTATTATTACCATTGTGGCAACATATGAGGACACAGCATGTTCCTGGCCACAATCTGCTGTGAATTATATTTCTGAAAGGTACAGTCTCCTAAAATAGCATATTGAGTTCGATCCAAGCACCTGAGGATTGCGTAGGCAGCTATTCAGTTGAAGGAATTAAATTTAGGCCTACTGAATAATCAGGAAACTGTGAATTCTCCTGTATAGTTTCTACCTTCAGCTACAGCATGTGAAAAGTGCAGTTTAATGGACTATTACCGCTTAAAGTAGATCTAACCCCAATAATTAAAATTCTATCTTTATAAATAGTCTGAAGGAATGTGATAGACAGAGACACTAACTGAAAATAGAGGTATAGGTACAAGCACTTATATACTGACCCTATTCTACATCTCATCCTGCTACCCATACATGCACTCACACCATAGGCACACCCCCCTCTGCGTGAAACCCCACTGTTCCAACACCACTCAACTGCCCACACATCCAGATCACTAACTCCACTGCACACTGCCCACACCTCCCGATTTCCAAACCCACTGCACTGCCCACACCTTCCAGTCCCCAATCCCACTGCATGCTGCCCACACCTTCCAGTCTCCAAACCCACTGTGGACTGCCCACACATCCAGATCACTAACTCCACTGCCCACACCTCCCGATTTCCAAACCCACTGTGGACTAACCACACCTTCCAGTCCCCAACCCCACTGCACTCTGCCCACACCTTCCAGTCCCCAACCCCACTGCACTCTGCCCACACCTTCCAATCTCCAAACCCACTGCACACTGCCCACACCTTCCAGTCTCCAACCCCACTGCACACTGCCCACACCTCCCGATTTCCAAACCCACTGTGGACTGCCCACACCTTCCAGTCTCCAACCCCACTGCACTCTGCCCACACCTCCCGATTTCCAAACCCACTGTGGACTGCCCACACCTTCCAGTCTCCAACCCTATTGCACTCTGCCCACACCTCTCGATTTCCAAACCCACTGTCGACTGCCCACACCTTCCAGTCTCCAACTCCACTGCACACTGCCGACACCTTCCAGTCTCCAACCCCACGGCACTCTGCCCACACCTCCCGATTTCCAAACCCACTGTGGACTGCCCACACCTTCCAATTTCCAACCCCACTGCACACTGCCCACACCTTCCAGTTTTTAACTCCACTCCACACCTCTCAAAATCCATAGCACTCACACACAATGCCCTACGCGTACGTTTATTCCCATGCAGGTGGCGGGGTTTTTTATTTATTTTATTATTTTTTACTTGATCACTTTTATTTTTAAAATTTGTATTTATAAAAAAATGTTTACTTTTTTATTTTTAGTTATTTTATTACATATTAAATTTTTTATAACTTAATTGCTATCACACAGGGGCTAACGATCTGTTCATGCAGCTCTCCACCCTGAAGTAATTTGTTGTGGTACTGGGTTCTCCATAAGAGCAGGGGACCCTGAAGTCCATGACGGGCAGGTACAAGCATGTTGTACAGCCGCCCAAATCACTTGTACAAAACGTCTTCCCTGTTCTACATTTAGCCCTGCTGTTTGCCTGCAATATGACTGAATGGAGAAAATAAAACGCCTGCCCGGTGCCCAGAACTGCATGTCCTGGGCGTTGGGTGATAGGAATTCCGCACCCCTGCATTTACCGCAGTCAGATCAGTGGAAGATGAATTGTGGTTTGTTGGCTGCTGTAGCTTTGTGTATGGCCTTACTGAATGAACCTGAATGTGTTTCACGCCAATACAACAGCAAACTATATAAGGGGTCCCATAGATAAGATGGAGATGGGCCTAGTGTGATACCCTTTCTGCTCCCTAGCACTTATGCACATTCTTTATTCTCAAAGCATATACTGTAATTACTGTGAGACCTGGGAACTGATGGGTCACCAGTTCCTACTGAATGTACTTCATTAACATACAAAATGGCTTCCTTTATTGCTTGGGTGACAGGTACACTTTTAAGCTTGTATGCTAAGGCAGCTGCAAATTGCAGCCAATCAGATTTAGTCCTTTACATCATGATCTTAGTCCAGTAAATTAAAATGTGACTGTTTGCTGTAGAATATTGTACTTTGCCCTGTTTAACAAGCCAGTCAATGCTATAGCCTGCTTTCTTTTTTTGTATATCACATTACCCAGCCAAGGTTCTATGATTTGAAGATGATTATCCATTCTATATAACTAATTCAAGATAATTATCCATTCTATTTCCAGCATTTATAGCTATTGAGTCACCAGGAATTATCACAAGTAATGTGTTTTGTTCATACATTTCATGTGCAGATGATTTAATAAAGAGGTTTACAATAGCAGTCGGTGTAATAAATGATATGTATGTGTCAGATCACATTCAGTGCCGGCTGGTCATGTGACTGAAGGAGTATATACTGAACTATAATTAGATCATGGAAGACATATAGCATGCCAGTGATATTAAGGTTTGGCCCAAAGGGAGCCGACATACAATATTCTATGTAACAACTGTTGTCTATGTGTGGTGAGGAGGTAGTAAAGGGTGTATTAAATGACTGTATTATCTTTCAACCACAAGGTGTCCGGCATCAGTGTGACTAATGGGAAAGACCAGCTGGTCATTTTTCATACCAAGGACCAGAAAGACCTTATCGTGTGTATGAAGTTTACTGGACAATCTGCCCAGGATAGCCATGTGGGAGAAGTTGTTGGAGTCCTGGCCAATCACTTTAAGAGGTAAATGTATCCTAGTACCTGAGTCATTGCTCTTTCTTTGCATCTGTCTTGTAGAAATCATATGTAATAGCAAAGTGTTAGTAGCCATTTTGAGCTACTTTTATGAGTCTTCTGAAATGTGTGAAGAAAAAACAGTTATTGTTGCTCATAGTAGCCAATCCAAATGTCTTTCTCTTAAGGCCTAGGCTGAAGCAAACCTAGCCCCTAAGGTAGAGTATGAAGGCCGCTGTACACTGGGAGTGGTGGTCATTACAATCCTTCCTATATACAGGCTGCACCTACAGTAAGGCCCAGTAATATGTACTTTACTGCAAAAAACAAACAAACCAGTGAGGTCCCTAATACATTAGGTGTATTTGAGGTACACTAGTAAACTTTAGGTAGTGATGTTCTGCTCAAGTTCAGTGCTGCCCCCTGAGTCATGCTAATCTGAAGAGCCTCCAAAATCAGCAGATTATTCTGCAGTAAGGGTGATTGATACCAGTCTATGTGCCATTCAGTAGCAGGCTGGTCAATGAGGTGGTTGGTGGGGTGGAGCATAAGGGGACATAGGACTATTGTGCACATCCATGCCTAATGTGTCTTGGATACTGATCTTATGTACATCTTGACTTCCCCAGGCAAGAAAAGGATTCATACGGAGATCCTATAACTATAAATGCCCCACAGGGCTCCGTGGGCAATGTTTTAGGGTCCAAACCAGCTATATCTATTGTGTATTTGTATATAGAGAGATGTCTAAATCTCATACATCATCACTCTTGGAGATTACTATATGCATTTACTATATCACAAAGAGAGTCAGACAGCTTTCATTTGTACAGTTTTGCTGCCTGCCATTGAGCTGGATAAATGGCTAGTATTAGACCCATGTACACTGTCATAGCAAAATGCTGTCAGGACATTGGCACTCCTGTATGTACTGAACTAGCCTCATTGCCTGTAGGGGCAGGGTGGTATTGTTATGCAGTTGTATCCTATTCAACCAGATTGAGCCAATGCAGAGCAATTAGAATAAAATGTAATTTTATTCTAAACGTGGAGATCAACACTGGTTCTGATTTTTAAAACAATATCGGCTTTTCCAGTACACTGTTATTTTGCCCTTAAGATTTGATGGTAAACGACATACTGCCTGTTACCGAACCGGGGACATTTCCAGACTGTATTGTTTCCGTTTGTTTTCTTCCATTGACTGATCCTTAGTCCTCAGGAATGATGGGTTAGAGCTGGGAGTTCATTGATTGCCATGGAAACAGGCTCAGCATCTGAATAGTTGAGTGATGAGGATGAAGGGTTTAATGAGCTCTGGAAAAAAAAACCAGGGTCAGCATCAGGCAGCCATCCAAGTTCTTTTTAGCTCTCAGTTCCCCCCTCTCTTCTCCTCCACACCCCTCTAGAGTGTATCTGTCGTATCCCTCCTACTCTCTCCCTTCCTCTGTCTCACTCGCTTCCCTTGTCATTCTCTCGCCATCTTTCCCCCTGCCTTTGTCTCTTTTCCTATCATGTCCCTTCTTCTTACCCTCCTTCTCTATTCCCTCGCTCTTCCTATTCCTGTCTGAGCCTTTCTCTCCTCTCTTGCCGTTTTCTGTACCTCTCACATTCTCTCTCTTCCTCCATCTTTTTTCTCCTGACCAGAAATACACTGCAGGCAGGATCACTGGGAGTGCATAGAGAGGCAATTCCCAGAAAGCTTGTTGCTTTTCCACAGAACAGGTTCTCATTTACATCGATTAATTAATTTGGTTACACAGAGTGCCTGCAGGCTTATCAGAGCGTCCATATTTTTAGTTTGTATTCTCAAGGTGACATGTGACTTTTACCTCAGCAATGGCACTTTTCCAAGTCCCTAGCCTATAAGCTTCCAAGTCCCTAGCCTATAAGCTTCCATGTGTGGTGAAGAGATCCAGGCCACTCTACTGCCATGATGGGCAGATTTTAGGAGTGCGTTGCAGCAGGGTGAATAGTCCTATCGCAGATAATACATGCAATGCACCCCCTGTCTGTTTATGCAGGTGGGTGTCCAATGATGTCCCTGCCTGCCTGTGAGGAGAAATCTGCTCAACATCTCTCTATCTTCCTATAAAATAATTCTCCAGCTGCCATCACCCTCTCATTTCCCCCTCCCACCTAATATAGAACAGCTGTTAGACATGTGCTACACAAGTCCATATCTCCTAACAGGAGTAGCTCTTGGGGATAAAAAGCAGGACATCTTTTAATATTTTATAGGAAAACAACACTAGAGACAGACTTGGTATAGCCGTCTTTGGTAGAGTATTATGTATTTATTCCAGCTGACCTAAAGTGGGATATTTATGAAGGAAAGAAAGGGGTAGCTGGGTGCTATACACATGTACGCTGTATTACAGCACTATCACCAGACCCCCGTGACACAGATCGGCTCTTGTGAGTGCTGAAGTGTCTATATAAGTAAACAGGAGCAAGCGGCAATGCCAAAAACAACCAATGGATTATCAGCTTCCATTTGTATTCTTACCTTGAAAATTGACAAATCCTTCACAAGTTGCTGCAAGCACCAGCTCTTCTCTTTTCTATGCAGGTTTGTACAAATGTTCCCCATAGTATGTGCAGTGATAACTATGGGGTCAGTGTAGATGTGTGGAATGTTGCGATAAAATATATCTTGAAACAGTAAATTAGATTTCATAGGAAGGGGACACGGCTGTCTAAGAATGTCGCTCAGTAAAATGTTGACCACATTCGCATGTCCTCAGCGTGTGCGTGGCGTAAGCGGCGTCGCGTGAGCGGGTATACTGGCATAGGCGCGAGCGGCTTAAACGACGTGGGCGTGGCGTAAGCGGCAGGCGTAAGTGGCGTTCGTAAGCGGCGTGCAGCGGCGAGCGGGAAATTTGAATTTTAGCCGATGAATCGACGATGGAAAACGTTGACAACGTTTTCCATCGTCGATTTTAATCGAATAACTGTTGCAGCTCTACATATGAGCAACTGTGGGGCAGAGTCAGTCGTAATTTTGTTTACCATCTTAAAAGGGATTTTCACCGCTTAGCTCATAGCTTCCTTGTAATGACTTTCCTTGGGAGGTTTTTATGGGAATTCCCTTTTAAAATGTTGGGAAAGCACAGGCTATGGAAGATAATGAACGTGTTTTATACTCTGCATTTCCTTCTGACCTTCAAGAGTGACCATCATTTCCCTTTGATTCTGGTCGCTGATTACAGGGGGGGCGGGTAGTAATTAACTGCTTTTTACCGCTACAGGATATTGTACAAACGGTGTGTCAAAATTTCCTTAGTATCCTTACTGATGGATCTGTGTGTCATCTGTCATTACGAAGAGGACGAGTAAGCACAACGTATTTAGGTCACAGAATGTAGAGCAAGCCAGCCACAGTCGATTAATAAGCATTTTCTACAGCTGACAGCAGCATTGCACAATCAACTTTTTCCTAATTACAGAGTTCCTTGCAGTACATCGCATAACCTTGCGTCTCATAAGCTTATAAATGCACTTAAAGCACATTTGTAATTTGGTAGAGAGCTTAATGCTGTGACGGAGGAGGGCAATTGAGGTAGACCGCCTACGTTGTCTAGTGATGGTTTAAAATGCGGCTAAAGCCAAAATGGTTTGATTCCCAAAGTGCGAGAGGAGTTAGAATAGAGTTTCTGTGTCCACGTCAGTGATCGCTGAGTATTTGTAGATAATTGAGGACATGGTATGGTTACTACATCCTCAATTATGAATGAATGGGCGAGATCTATATCCCCTCCTGTTCATTCATAATTGTGGTTATAGTATTCATACTATATTCTCAAGTATCAATGAACAGGAACACTCATAAAACGACTCCTGTTCCTTGATAACAGGGGATACAGAAAAAGAGATTGAGGACTTTGTGTTCTCAATCTCTTTTTCTATTTTAAAAGGGAAATATCAGGGGTCTGTTTAGACCCCCAATACTTCCCCAAAGCCCCCAAAAGTAAAGTTAAGAAATAAAAAATATTTTAATAAAGATAGCTAAATAAAATATAAAAAATTACTAAATTAAATATTTAAAAAAATTAAAATAAAAAAACAACATTTTCGGTTTCGGCCTGACAATTTTTTTCTATTTCGTTTCGGTTTTTAAATTTCTATTTCGGTGCACCTCTAGTTTTGAGTTGTCACCATTCTAGAAGGGAAGTCTTTAAATGAGGACACTTTTTTTTGGGTGACATCTGAGAGTATTTCATTTTACTTCATGAAGTTCAGAAAATGTCCTCAGTGAGACATTTTTTTAAAGGGGTTTTAGTCAGTTCCTACTCTGTCCGAAACGTAAAACATTTTGGCTATACTGTATGTGGATTTAGGTAGCGTCAGGTTTAGATTTTGGATAGAACATAATGGAGCTGCAGATACTGATTTTTGTTTTTAAGTTGTGGATTTTGGGGACTGTTATTCTGGTCACTGAACTGAAACAAGTATACAGGATGGGATTTCATACTTTCCACAAGTCACAGGCTTGTTTCAGGTCATTGGCTCACTAGCTGCGACCAAGGGGCCCAATCCAGTGCTAAGGCATTGGACATATGGTCTTACCTGAAGTGGAAGGTCCAGCTGATTCTAGCAGGCAGGGCCAACCAGTCTGCAGCAGTACCTAAACACCGGACCTAAAGGTTCTTCTAGATGAAGACATCTAGGTACTAGAGGAATGCAAAATATCTCTTCTCAAATGGGGTATATAACTTTTTCATTAACAATACCTAAATACATCCAGCCACTCTGCAGGTGCTTACTTACCTCCATTCAAGTGCTGTGTAATCACCCAATGTTCCTCCTGATGAAAATCTATGCAGTGCCAGCTGTGTCCCCATAGGCTTGAATGGAGCTATATATACAGAGTCTCATTCAAGCCTATAGGAGGTATACACAGGGCACAGATTTACATTTGAGGAAACTGTGGAGGAAACCACAGTTGCTGGGGAAGACGTAGGGGGAGATGGTGGATTTAGGTACAATAGGGGAGGACAAATTAATATGGAGAGCCAGCAGGTTTTTTTTAGCAACCCATTCCATTGACGAGAACTAGAGAAAACCTCAAAAGTTAGGTGCAAGCTGTAATATTTAAGGTGCATTGGCGACCTGGCTCGTGTGATTTGTCCAGCCCTGAAATAGAGAAACCATAAAGGTATAGCTGTCCTTTAATGTCTTTTCATTTACATGTATTTGCTGCTTGGAGGATGAATATGTTATACTTGTATTTAATACAAAATGCCTTTATTTTCAACTTCAGGTTTGTTTTGGTTTTTAAATGGCATGTTTGCTCAAACGCCAGTTTTCATATTAAATCTCTTTTTTTATATCCTTACAGTGAGAAGAGGCCCCTCCAGATTACCGTTGGGCACCCAGTTCAGTGTACCCAACATGGCAAATCCTGTGCCGTCACTGTGGAAACCAAAATCAACCAATCACAGCCTCACTTCAACAAGAACCGTTCTGGCTTTACCCTGAGTGTGCCAGCCAACTAACGTGCATGTGCCTAAACCATACGATGATACCGAGTATCTTTGTATACCGATGCCTTATACAGCCGATGATACCTTGGATTGTTATTGCGGGGACCGGTTCCCCCAGAATGTCTCGACAGTCCCTGAACCTCATTTAAACTATACAGCAATTACTGCTCCATTTTAACCGCGGCTCTCCAGCCTTTAACTGCCTATCTTTTAGATTCCTCCATATAATTGTCTTATTTTCGATTTGACAAGATCTACTTTTCAAAGGATAATTAAAAAAATTTATCTAGATTCATAAATTGTGTTTGTGGTCAAATTGGCAAGCTTGGTGACAGTGTTTGAAATTTGTTTTGTGCACACCAGACTCGAGGTAGAATCGAATGTATGTACCATCAAAAGGCATATGAAGCTGCCCATACACCTATAGATGATCTGCAGACTTTCTATGGTCAGACGGGAAAAGGGCCACAGATTCCTCCTTCTACGCTAAAAACTGTGTGGAATCTCCCACTGGGCCAAGCTTCAGTATCTTGCTAGTTGGCCCCGCTGGTTCTCAAAATACCTGAACACTCTGATTGGATGCAGGCATTGTTCAGGTTTTTTGAGAGCCAGCGGGGCCGACTAGCAATATACTGAAGCTTGGACCAGTGGGAGATTCCTCCATCCAGCCACTTTATTGTAGATGGAGGAATCGGTTGCACTTTTTCCACCTGACCATAGAAAATCTATAGGTGTATGGTTAGCTTTAGTAAGTCCACCCCACCCCATGCAAATAACAGACGTGACACATATAGAATATTGTTTTGTTTTTTTTATTTCATCCTCACGGTACAAAAATAAATAAAAACACAAAGTTAGACACAAGCTGGAAGGTTTCTGTATTGCCTCCATACCTTGCATTAGTGTCATCCACACACAAACTACACAACGACTTCATGTAAACCAGGAGATGCTACAAGTACATTAACCTGACGCCCACACCCGTACTGCCATGTTCAGGCCCAGATACCAGTACGGGAACATGCATACCCTGTGTACATGGGTGGGCTATGGTCGGCGGTCATGCACTCAGTCACACAAAATACATATTTATCTACAACTATGTATATTTACACAGGCAGAGTCCAGGTACCATGCCAGGTCACATAGCCTGCGCACAAAAGGAGTCTGTTTACACAAAGGCCCTCTCTTCTCAAGAATAATCTAGACACTGCAGGCCCTATATAGCCGGCCATTGTTACATTGTCTCGCTTCTAGTATATTACCATGATCTGTAGGGCTCTACATGGTAGCATAATATTAAAGAGAATTTGCCTTAATGCAAAATACCTGTATGGGAAGCCTCAGATGAAAGGTAACATTCTGTGTCTCTCAAGCTGTATCTAATATACAATCCAGATTTTAAATAGAAGCAGCTCCCATTTTAAAGGGTTTTTACACTTTTAAACCCAGAAAGCAGTGCATTACAAAATGAGGTGCATTCCAGTCAGAACTAAACATTCACAAAATTTATATATATATATAATTGTATTTTTCCAAAATGATTTTGTCAGTAATCTGGTGCTCCCCTTTTACTTGTCTATATTGCAAGAGAAACATTTCCAAGGACACCCATAGCAAACTCCTTAATCTCATACTTGCATGATGTATCAAAAGTGTCAGCGACCAATCAAATTTAAACCCAACTTAAATGTGATTGGTGATGCACCGTAAGAGAGGAGATCTGAGGAAGCAGACGTTCCCATCTCACATGCCTTGAATATGGCTGCTGTGGAACATGTAAAAGTCAGAGTAAAACTTGCTGATTTCCACACAGTCTCTGTTTTCTGGAGTACAGTTCACTGGCTTCACTTGTTCCTTAAAGCTGCCCTTTAATTTCATGCTACCAAGTTATTACAATGCAATTGAGCCCTTACTGCTTTCAGGACCTTTGCTATACTTTTATTTACGCATAGCACAAGGTCCACCCACTTAATCCTACTGTCATCTCTTATTAGTAAGAATTCCTACTGCAGCAGAGATGCTGCTAGCAATAAAGAGTGCCTGGCACAAACAACGATGTAGGCAACTAAGCGAATGAAAGCAAATAGCTGCAGTTTTGCAATCTCTGCCCTTCCATGTTCACATAGGAATGGATGGCAGTAGTTACACTATCAGCAATAATTACACTAAGATTAGATAGCCACAAGTCCCAGTCAGACTTTCCAGCCACATTGGGATTAATAGATCCTCACCCACTAGAGGGCTACAGAGGGTCTTTGGCAGACTTCTTTTTCTGTTAGAGGAGAGGCATAAATGTGTCATCTTTTGTAAAAAGTACAAGCCTTCACCGTATGGACCTGGAAGGGAAACCTGCATTCTACCAGCAAAACACACAAAATGAAATGGTCTCCACAAATTTCTTCTAACACTGTACATGTAACAAAAAACAGGGAAATAAAACTCGTCTGCTAGAACACATCATGAAAACAAGGAGTTAATGGCACATATTGTACAGGTAATGTATCATAGCAGGCTATTCTAGAACAAGCACCCATGACATAACAAAAGTGCATCTTTTTCTTGCTCATGAGGGCATATTGTACACAGCTGTTATTGGGGGAATGACCATCATTGCAGTGGCTCTCGGCATATGTGCAAATGAAAGTGGTGGTATCTGTGAAATGATCCAGTGCAATGGGGGGCTGCCCAATTCAATACCAGAGAGCCATATAAAGCAAAGATTTGGGAGCAGACTTGAGAATGCGTACAGTGAACTGAACTTTTTGCTTGGTTCATTCTTGTCTGGCAAAATGGGATCCTGGTCCTAAAGGACTGCAGTGGTTTAACTCAAGAGTCTACTGACTGTGGAGGCTGCTGCATTTGGCCTGACAAAATCTTCAGAAATGAGACGTAAGTGGCCCTAATGCATCAACCCCCCCACCCCCCCGGAAAAAAAAGTTCTCGTCACCCATCAAATATTTCCTTTATTAGCTAAAGCTACACTGATTAAAACATGGCTCAACTGCTTATGAACTGGCATCCCGGGATGTTGTCATCCAGGGCATCAGCTGTTGAACCAGTTCCTTCTACTTGGTCAGCTGTGAGTTGGTGGGGAATTTGAGTAGGATATATAATTCATGTAGGCCGATACCTATGCTGGAATAACTCCAGCATCCTAACACTGCTATCATCTACCAAAGTCCCACCACCCTTCCAACATTGGGAGCTTTTACCCCCTGACTGGATCTTGCCCTGCACTGCAACCTCATCTTCTCTGACAGAGTGCCCAGACAGGTGCCTTCATCGTTCTTGGGCACCTGTCTGGGGGGAGGAGAGAACAGCTCTTACAAGGGGAAAGCTATTGGCAGGTAGAGTTTATACCAAAGGAATAGAATCACGTGTCACTTAACTCCCCCACCTTGATGGTAGTTATTTCACTTGTATTAAGAAGTCTACCTCCGTCAAGGCTGCCTGCATGCTCTTCCCTCAGAGACTTTTATGCACCAAGCCCTCCGAGCTGGCACTTGACTAAAGAACAAAAGGTCCTCAATCTGGTCATTTGGATAACATCAATGCTTATCAGAATTAGCATCAGCTCACTAGTCTCGTCACTACCTAAACATTTTTGTATCAAAACTTCAATACCAATAGCTCCCCACAGCCTCCTATAAAATTCCAGCTTTTAGATACCAACTTGTCACTTTCCAGAGCAGATTTGAATTTGGTTGGTGGCTTTGGGAAAATATAGTGACAATTCATAGTAATAACACTTTTTAATTCACAAGACCCTTTGTACTTGCCCTGTTGGAGCAACGGGGGCTGCAGGAGGAACTGGACCCAAACAATTGTCAGGCCAGCCTGTGACCTAATTAACCGATAACCTACAACAGATTCAAATATGAACACAATGACTGTAATAGAAGAATCGTCAGAATATAATCTAATACTTTGATATAAGAGGCCCTGTGGCACTAAAGCAGGTACTGCCATAAATAACAGAACTACAACCATCTGTGGGATAGCCAAGCATCCGGCCCAGCCTATGAATCCCAACAAGAACATCCCAGTTACAGCTGATGGGGTTTCCCAATGAAACATTGTATTCTATAATTTGCTTGGTCCTTAGCTAGATTACCAATAGGCAATCCGATTTTAATGCCATCATTGCCTGCATGTGATTACTACATCAGTAGGAGTATAGTAACACGTGTGCACACACCCAAGTGTGCAAAAGTACATCTGTAACAAGCAAAGCATGGAGCCGCTATCTTGTACTTGAACCATTCAAAAGAACGGGGTTCACTCCAAGCAAGTGCCATTATGTGAACAGTCCTTCTGATGTTAAAGTGGAACTAGACCCACCAATTTAATGGTCCCCCAAAATAGTTACTATCAAGGTTGCCAATGTGCTTATTTCAGCTCTTAACCAAACTTTCAAGCCCTCAACTGGCTGGTGTCATAACTAACCACATGTGCAGCACCATGGCAACTGCAATCAGATGGCTAAAAGGATAAGAGGTTGTAGTTCTGCTTTAACCGGTACAAGGCTCAAAATGGCTGTCACCAATGCTCCTTCCTTACCCTGCTACCCTGAGCCATTTCACAGTGATACAATTCTGTTCTTGCCTTTTGAATAGTAAACTAACACAAGTCATATTCACATTAGAGGGATAGATTTAGGAAGAATCAAACGGAGAAAGAACAGAATGCAAAGTGCACTACCCCTAAACCAACCAATGAGAACTCACACTATACTAATTGAAGTCTTACTGCTGAACTCTTTGCAGCCAATCAGAACTGATCATCCACCAAACTGACCTATTCACTGGAGTTTGGTAAGCTGCTATGGTTAACTGCATTTAGCATTTCATCCTTTGAAATTATTGTAGATGGTCTAATTTTTTTTTTTTTTATAGAAGGGAACGTCTGATCCCAGGAATTACACATTCGCTTGTCTTGGTTAGATTGCTCATTCAGACATCTATAAAGATACAATGTCGTTGAATTTGCAATTCAATCCTATGGGTAACAATGCCCTTGAACTAAAGAGGTGAGTTAAGCCGTGTACAATTAAGTGAGTTATTCAGTGCAAAAAATAAGGTTCTATAATACAAAACAAAAAAGTCTCTTTTTTTTTACCCCCCTGCTCTACAAATGCAATCATTTAGGCAAACATCGGTTCTTCGTGACCGAAACTGTATTCTTAACAGCAACTTCTGCCCAAACTGAAAATGTAAATGCAAGTAGAATATTCTATCAATCAGAAAAACAAGTGTTCAATAGGAGAGCCCCGAAATGTCAGATGGACTCTTAGAGGTGAACTGGAACTGTGACAGTATCATTACAATAAAAAATGTTTAAAAATGTGGCATTTTGGAAAACAAAACCCCTCATAGTGGGACTTAGGGACAGAATCCCGATAGAATATTCCACATTTAAATCTTCAGTTATGGGTAATACTACCTGGTAAAAGGCTCTCCTGCTCTTCCTGCTCCAGTGAGGTCACTGGTTCATAGAAAATACATGGGGCCATATTCTTATGTTTGCCCGTCATCCCTCAGAATTGCTGTCTTTAATCAATTGGGTTCTCTTCTAGGATTGATATCAATCTACAAGATGGAGCTCTAAAAGGAGCACACAGGACAGAAAAATAGAAACCCACCATTGCTGGCTTGTTTTTATTGGTGCAAGCTCCAGGGTTGTCATCCTTGCCCTTCCTTTCCTACTTGGTAAGATGCTGGCCTGATACAAGCATGTATGTCAGGTGCCAAATACCCGACGGCAGCCTTGTTCTGGAATAGTAGTGAAGCACGAGTACAGATCATGGCCCTAGAACATGAAAATCTGTAACAACCACGCTCCTTTTCCCATCCGATGGGTTGCTTCCTACGCAATGCATGGACTGTTTAGCTTCATGTGTTTTAGGCAGCATTATTTTAAAACAAAATGTTCATTTCTGTTGCCCTGACATAGAAGTGAGCTTGGCAGGGGAATATATTATGCCCCATCTCAGCAATGATAGAAAACCAAAAAAACGTTTCTCCTCTGGCAATCCTATACAAGGCAGTAAACAACGTTGACAGCGGAAAACCGCTTCAAATGATAGGGTAGGGGAACTGTAGAGGCCTTCTAGTATCTGCATTAAGCTCCAAAGGTGGGAAACTAGGAAAGAGTTAACTTGTTTCTGTCTCTACACAAGGCAGTTAACGTCCAGCAAGAAAAACAATTTGCAATTCTGCCATGCATTACATGGTCTTCTTTCCCCTCAGCTGTGCCAGTGAAGGGTTAATGAGATTGGACAATACCTCCCAGGTTAATTAGAGTGATAGCTAGAGATTTTTTGTTTTAAGATAGGCGCAGACATTGGAACGGAGGGAGGTTATCGAATGAACCAAGTGATGTCCAAGTCTCTTTTTACATGTCACCAGAACCTCACTAATGCCACCTATTTTCAGACCTGCAGAGCATTCCCGCACACAGAGGACTGCAGAACATTGTACAGTGTAAACCTTTTCTTGCTTGAGACCTGCAAGCACTACAATGTGACAACCTCGTCTGGTTAGGACCTGAAAAGAGTTTTCAAAATCGAACCAGAATTCCAGTGTTTAAACCCTGCCAGGGGTCATGGTTATATCACCAGTTACCAGCAGAGCATTGCTCTGAACAGACTCTCCTGTCACGAAATCCTCTCTTATCTTCTACACCCCAACATCCTCCCAGCCCCAACTGTCCATGGAAGTTCACCGATCCAAGCCTATCATCAGCCGGCTCTTGTCCTCTTGGCTTCCCTCCGCTTTCAGATCGGCAAAGATCTGAGTGAAATACTGGGGGTCAGCGTTGATGCGCAGCATCTTGGGGCTCATTAGTCCAATGACAGACAGGCATCGGTCCCAAAAGGCCTCTTTAGAGCTTTCCACTAGGAAGGGCTTCAGCGGGTAAGAGATCTCATTGCCCATGTAGGAGTAGGACAGGTAGACACAGGTCAGTAAGGAAGCCTGCAATTCTTGCTCACTGGCCAGCTCTGAAGAAATGACATCTCGGCAAAGCATATACAAGAAGACCACGTTGGCCGGGGTGATGAAGCCTTGGTCCTGCCACCCCTGGAGAAGTAGAGATCGGTCCACACTTCTCAGCCATAGCACAGGCTCTGTAGATGAAAGATGCTTCAGCTTATAACACCTTCGGCAGAGGAACTCTCCTAGACATCTTAGAAGTTCACTGGTGGAAGCCTGCACCACCACGCGTTTCGGAGAAGAGTGCACTTGCTGCTGCTGAGATGACTTAGTGACAGAAGACACCGGGTCCTTGCAAGCTGAATCTTTCGAGTCCTTTGTGAAGCTCGACAGGTTAGCGCAGGAGAGGGATTTCTTAAGGTTCTCGCTATTGAGATGGGTGACGTTGTTCTGGTAACCATTGTTGGTCTGACTCTTTTTCGGTTGTCTCTTTTTGGAAGAGACTGCCACAAGTCGCTTCCATGGTAACACAGAGATGAAGGAATGTCTCTTGAGAGATTTTCCATTCTTGCTATTCTGGACGGCAGTGTAATGAGCCACACTGGATGAGCTGCCTTCAAACAGTCCGCCCTTGCGGTAGCTTGGAGATATGGAGAGGACAGTACCCATGGTTTGGTTGGGTCTGGTAGCGAAGTTTCTGAAGGGGCGAGTCAAATTTCCAGTATCATTTCAGGACTTTAGTGCTTGAATGAGAGCCTAAAATTGAAAAGATACAATTGGTTATTTCTCCAAGTAACATATCAGAGGATACAAACATCTAATATATAGAAAACATCCTACCTACCGCATAAGGAAAATACATATCTAAGCCCCAACAATCATTTCTAAAAGACACCATACAACATACTGCAAGTGAGATTTTTCTAAATTGTCATTTTATTTGTCAGATTAGTCCCATCAGCCTCTGGCCCTGAGTTGCCAAGCTTTTGTTTGTTGCAAGCAAGCTTTGCATTCCAATACAAGTCTATGGGAATGCAAAACCTGCATGAATCAGGTCAGAAGGAGGTCAACTGTAGGTAAAATGTACCGGTCAATGAATTCTAAAGAATCCGGGAGGCGTCTCAAACTGATGTCCTCACCACAAGCCCAAAGCCTGTCACCACACTGGCCCTTAAAGTGCATGTAAACCCCAACAATAAATTATCCTATTTGCTACCTTTTGGTCTGTTAAATATACTATGAAAGGGTTTTGTTACATCTCTTCGAGAATGGCAAAAAATACCGGTTGATCACGTCATGATTATTTAGAGCTATCCTGGGTCCTGTGTAAACTTCTATCCTATTTGCTACCTTTTGGTCTGTTAAATATACTATGAAAGGGTTTTGTTACATCTCTTCGAGAATGGCAAAAAATACCGGTTGATCACGTCATGATTATTTAGAGCTATCCTGGGTCCTGTGTAAACTTCTTTTTTTTTTATCTTGGACCACAGATCATTTGGTTTCTATGCCATGGACAATAGCACAGGGGGTGGATTTAAGTAGTTTAGCAAAAGTAAACTGGAAAGGGCTGACACCACTCAAAAATGCTTTGTGTTGACAGGGCTGAGCACATTCCTGGTAAATCACCAGGTATTTTTCTGCACTTGCAGGATCTTTAAGACATAAAGCACAGGGAATGTGCATGTATTATTATTATACAGGATTTATATAGCGCCAACAGTTTGCGCAGCGCTTTACACTATAAGGAAGACATTACAATCACAATACAATTCAAGACAAGATCGTAAAGAAGGCCTACAATCTAATAGGAAGGTGCCAGTGATACATAAGGAGGTAGCTGTGTGGGGATGAATTGTTTGAGAAAGTAATATACTGCAGATATGTATGGCATATGTTTGCTTTGTATTTGCCCTGACATACACTTTAAAATGTAATGTCCCTGCAAAGTCACACACACACACACACACACACACACCAGGGCCAACTGGGTGGAGGCTTCTTAACTTTTTTTTTAGATGGAACCCCTAGAAGAAAACACACGCGCACACACTTCATGAAAATTGGGTCTCTTGTGGAATCCAAATCCAGAAACCAAGCACAATGCTTCACCCTTGTTACCATGCTGGTATTTCCCCCCAAATTCCTACCAATACGATATATAAAAATTGATTTTATGGGGAGGTGTAACTAGTTTATTAGAGAGACTCAGTGTCAGAAGGATGGAGGTCTTACGGGGTGGGCAAATTAATATGCAATTCAGGAGCCAGTCTGCCCAATCCAGGAGCCAGCAGGATTTTTTTTAAGAGCCAAATCCATTGACAACAATTAGCGAAATCCTCAGTCAGTCAGCTGTAATTTTTAGGAAGCATTGTCTACTGGGATTAGTTCAGCTCTGAGGTATACCATAAGCAACCATGGAGATGTCTGCATTTTTCTAATATTACATACTGTAAATGTTATTTCTACCAAACGCAACAAGAGAGAGACCCCATTATTTTATACAGAGGTGTACCCCACCTGTGGATGGAGGCAGAGGCTGGACCCACTTTGGCCCCTGGCAGATATTTTTGAGCAGTGGTCCCTAACCAATCCCTCAGGAGTCAAATGTAGCTCTCGGCTAACTTTGATATATGACTCCTAAGAAGTAGAACTTGTATATCTAAGCACCTTCTTTATTAAATAGTTTGCATAAGTAGTTAAGCAGAAATCTGATTCATCAATTACCATATTTCTCAATGCTAGACATTGGAGTGCAGTTTTTCCATACCTAGTTTAGCGGCTTTGGCTTGTACGTCAACAGAGGTTGATAAACTCTATCACATTATTGTACATCTAGTGTGTGCATGTTTATGGGGAACGCTCCAGTCTATCCTGAATGGCCGGTGTCTGGTTGTCTGCATTCCTATGTATGTGAATGGATGACACCTACAAACCTTCTGGCTTGGGAGTGAAAACTGCAATGAGTCAGCTGCAAATTGCCATCGTCTCCATTGTCCCATCTACGGGATTGTAATCCGGCTGCATCTGATCTGGGCGCAGCTGATGGCTTCGTATTTATAGCCGTCACCATTTGGATGTGAGATTACTATTTACTTCTGTCTAAATAATTAGCAGTTATCACAACCTTATCCTCAGACGGGGACATTACTATTTTAAAGCCTTGAATATGTGATTACAGCTCTCCTAATATAGAATGGGTAATGGCCTTATTGCATGTGTTTGTGCATGCGTGTCCAAAAAAAATAATAGAATTACTCATCTGATTGTTAAAGTATGACTAAAGGCTAAACTTTCTTCTTAGATCTGAATAGAGTGGTGAGCGGTTAGAACCTCTGTCTGGTTATTATGTTATTGAAATCGGTGTCTCCGTTATCGATATTCACACTCTCTAATTGTCCTGATCACCAATGTCACCGGGAATGAAAATGAGGGAAATCCAAAATTTCCACCAGAACAAGAATAGAAGGGAAGCCTTCCAATGGGGGCACCTATCCCCGTGACAACTGTTTCGGTGGGGATTTCTCTCACATTGGAGATATATCTTCTCACTTCATGTTCAGTCTACAGGACAGGAAATGATGGGAAATTTCTCTAATTAGAGAACATAAAAAACACCGTCATCCGTTTAACCCCCATTGACTCTATCCAAAATGATACAATAGGTTTCGGCTTTAGACATACTTTACGGAGAAAGCAGACCAAGGAACTCTACCTGCAGTTCCAATACATATAAATAAAGTTTATTTGGTGCAGAGCTGAAAATCCATTGGAACCGCAGGTCGAGCGGCTTGAAAAAAATTGCCTTTTGTCGAAGGAGCCATTTTGGCTGAACTGTGACTACAGCCAATCAGCTGTGAGGAATGGTAAAAGGGCATTGACAGTGCATTGGTTTATACCAGCATTTCTCAACTTTTTTTTGTGTCATAGCACCCTTTAAAACTATGCAAAATCTCGAGGCACCCAGAATGTCCCTTCATTTTGCATCAGGAGCCCCCTCAACATTAGTCTTCATTCCCCCTTTACAAAACAGTCCCACTAACACACAATTTTGAGGCACTCCTGAGGAAGCCAGAAGGTACACCAGGGTGCCCCAGTTGAGAAAGGCTTCTTTATACTATATGTCTGTGTTGGGGGTGCCATTTGGAATGACTAGCAATGCACAGCATATATCCTGTGTGTAGGTGTGCAGACTCTTAAGTGTTAATCCAGCCCTATAAGCAAGAATCCAAGCTTGTATATATCAAACAAATATGGCTGCTCCATGAACATACTGTATATAATTCAAGGCTGTAAATGGACGCCTTCACCATCCACCATGTACCCATATGGGCTTAGTAGTACAAACAACTATATGATCACTAGAAAACTGAAAGAGAGGGTTGACAAGCCATCTTCAAGGATTACACACCCAAAAACCACCTATAATGGAATACTGTACATGATGTCTTCCAAAGCAGCGGTCACCAACCAGTGGTCCGTGGACCACGAGAACATTTTGCTGGTCCCTGGGCCCTTCTGATGCCGTGCAGGCTGGGCCATCACTGAAGCGGCAAGGACGCTCCGGGGCTGACTCTCACCGACTCATATCTCCCGCGTCCCCTTAATGCGGTGCATAAAGACTGCATGGCATTTGTCAGGGCCGGTTTCCTGATGGTGTCAAAAGTGGACCATGCCCGTGTAATGTGTGTCGAAATAGCCGCTTGTAGTCTCCATCAGAAGTCAGTGTGACAGGGCAACCACACAGGATCACGATTAGGAAACAGAAGCAGAGTGTGGTCAGTGTGGTCTTTAAACAGGAAGAAGCTGGACAAAGACCTTCATGGCGGGATCACCAGGTATTATTTTCATTAAAGCTGCAGAATTAAAAATTACTTTTGGGATAACGTTAACATGCTAAAGCTCATATGAGATTCAAGTAATTGGGTTGTACATATATTACCTAATTATAGTAATGCTTCCTAGACTTCTAAAGGCGATACCCACTATTAAAATTCTTTCCATTCCAAGAACCACATAATTGAGTCTATGGCGATTCCACGTCTTCCATAATGTAGGTCGCCCCATCCCAAAGAGTCTCAAGAGTAACAAAGAGTCTCTCAAAATCATGTTGGCGTGTCACTTTGCTTTTTGTAAACACGGAGAA